ATAAAAAACTACTGTCAATCAATATATAGTAGATGTGTCTATGGTATTCAATTATGAAAATGTGCTTTTGGCTGTGTTCTATAGGAGTGTGAAAGACATAATAAGAAAAACAGACAAGTTTCTGTTCTAATAATCTGTTCTCCTTTGATAGGCAGCTATGGGAACATATTTATTTTCTGACTTATACCCAGCTAAATATGTAGCATTTTTAGATTATCTTTTCAAATTGTTCTTGAACATTCTCAGTTAAAAAAGAAAGAAAAAAAAAAAAACCTCCTTTCATGTTAAGTTGAGATTGCACTTGAACTCTTTCCAAAAGCCAGAGCTGTACTGAATTATGATAATTAGAAAGCTGTGCGCATAAAAGGCAGCACAGTTGATGCATTTAAAAAAGTTCATGCCAGAGAATATAAGTTCAATATGTTCTCACATAATTAACATTTCCCATCATTAGCAGCAGTTTTCAGTTCATGTATCTGTAAAAACAACAGCACTCGTCATTGTTTTAGATTCCCAGTCAATAGCATTTTAATAGTTTTACACATAATCCTAGACTTTCCTTCCCTTCCCCCTCCCAGCACGCTGAGATTTCACATTCTACCTCCTGACCTGCTAGCAAATAAACTTGTATTCTGTGCTCACACGCTCCTGCTGCTGCCCAGACTGACTCTGACCCGAAAGTTTAGTGAAAAGCTACGAGGAGCTGGAAACCCAAGAAGGCCATTTGCAAAGGAACAACAGGATGCTGAGGGAATAATCACGTTGTTCCAGCAAACAATGAGTAGAAGACAATGAACAAAAAGTTGTAGGTGATACCTTCGGCTGGAGGGGAGCCAAACTCAAACGGGGGCTGGCTCTGACAAACCAGGCACAGGCTGGAGGGACGAGGAAAAGAGGTCACAGCCCTGCGCCAACCGGGCAAGTGTCTGTAAACCCTTTAGGCACTCTGCGGATTTTCATCGCCTTCTCGACGTATGTACAAAAATTCATCTAACAAATAAGGGGATGTAGCACACGATGCGTTACTCTTTGAGACATTCATAGACTTCCTGGGTAGGGTGTCTCAAATGAGTTGCTACGAGACAGATTTTGACTTCAGTCCCTCTATTTTAAAATTAATATCATTCTGGTGGAACGTTAATAAGCTGATATAGTATAAAAGTTGCTGAATCTGGATCAGCACAGCGAGAAATTTTGGCTTTACCAATAACGAGATAAAACAGTGACTGCAGCGGGATCGGGATTTCATACAAAACCAGGAGAAGTTTGGTGTATTAAATCAGAAAACTTGTAGCTGAATTTTATGTGACAGATCTGAGGATCAGATTTGAAGATGCTGCCTGAAAGGACTGAAGTCTGCAACTTTTCACTCTCTTCTGTTTTGGAAATGAGCAATCGTTAAAACCAAGCACAAAATTATTCCAGGAAATATTATTCCATCCTTGTTCCACTTGCAAAAGTCAAAAAGAGTTTTGTGCAAGAACAGAGAGCAAGATATGGTCATAAAGTGGGAATTTATTGCAGAGATTTTTCTTCTAAAAATGTGTCTTCATCATGGCTTAGAGTCGGTTGGCTTTACAATAAATAATGCCATTAATCAGTTCATATATCACAGGATGCAATTTAAATTATACAGTACTTGCATAAACTATCACAAACCCTCTAGCAGCCCTTGCTTTCAGGGAGACAATTTACCTCTTCAAAGTTCTAAAATTTTGTTGAGACCCATTTAAATTATTTTTTAATAGTAAATGACTGTAGTTGAGGAATACAAAACATTCCTACTTGTGGCAAGCGCTAATGGCAAAGTGCAACATGGTGGCAAAACCATAATTAAATCTCAAATCCCGGAAATAAGTACTATTTCTCCCATGAAAAAGTAGGTCCCTTTGATCAACTGGGGACTTCAAAATCATTTCTAAAGGGCCAATTTGCACCCTCATTACAGCCAACGTAATATGCCACCTTGCAACAGGCCATATGAAGCTGATGGAATTAACCTGAATTCAGACCAGATTTCTAAAAAGTCAGCCCTCACTTCATATTTACACATGCTATGGATAAGGGCACAAATGGAATGACTGATCAACTGTTAATAGAAATCTGCCTTCAAGTTTTAGAGAGATTACAAGCAAATCAGAACATAAGCCCCGTGCAAAAATTCGAAAAAGTATGTGTGTCAAACTGACAATCATTTTAATCAAAGATGTCCTTCTTTAGACATCAGATATCATTCTAACCATGTACATAAAGCCTATGCTGTAAATATCTTAGTATTTGATCCAGCAAATGTTTATTCCTATGAGTCATCCCGGTCACTTTAACCTGAGTAAGGACTGGATCCAGCAAACATTTTCTCCTTAAATAAAGGAATCACTATAGAAAGACAGATTTTAAACCACCTTTGAAAGATATAGCATTAATATTAGAGTTATGAAGAAATACCAGATAGAAAGAGGGATGTATGCATGTGTACACACAGTCAGAGGACGTGAGTTCATAACATGTTTGAAGGCAACCTTCTCCCAAATACACACATTCAGAACTGTACACAAAATCTTCATGTTTTGGAAATGGTCTTAGGCACCCTTCTAATAAAATCAGATTACTTCTAGTGAAATCCTTCCAACAGTGTAACTATCCTACTTTATAGATTGAAAACTGACAGCTATATCATAATACACAACTACATATTTTTACCTTTCACTTTTTTTGAAGTGAAAGACACCAGAATTTCTCTATGGCTCCAGAAGTTTTTATTACAGTATTGCCTGTACTATATCTTAAAAGTTTGCTCACAATATTATCTACAACAGAAAGATGGAAGAAATCTTTTTTTTTCCTCTGCATGTGACTCAGCTGAGTTTAACTTTTTCAGGCATGGACAAACAAAGCCTAAAAACCACTTTCAACGATATCCAAAACCACTACACCGTCCAGCAGCAACAACAACAAAAAACTAGCTACAAATTACACCAAACATGCTACACACATGCTCACACATCTCCACACATCACAATACACTATCATTTCTCAGCTGGAAACTCACGGCGGGTCTAGTTCATAATTAAGTTTCTGTTGTTCTTTTCTAGCTGTTTAATTAAAACTCCTTTAAGCACAGTCTGTCTTTACTGAGACTCCTGTCAAATCAAAATTCTTCCTCTGCTTCACTGCCCGTGTGCACCCCACTCAGCACCGACTAAGAAACTGTACAGAATATAAAACCACAATTTGAATCTCAAGAGCTGTTGTTACACTCTCCTGGGTTAAAAGGCTAATAATATTTACTTCACCAAAGCAGCGTACGCAACACTGATGCTCGAAATACACCTAAAGTGTTCAGCGATAAAGTACTTTCCAGAGGTATTTCTAGGTTACTAACAATAAAAATTGGAATAAATCACTTGCATCCAAAATTTCTGCTTGGTCAGCTGATAAAAACCTGGAGCAAATGAAATGCAGAATTAGCCCTACTGGCATAGAAAAATGCCTTATGACCTCATTTAAAACCAGTGCAGTGTTGAAAAGATGTTTTACCATGAAGGTGAAAATAAATGCACCTCAAAAAAGTTTACCCTTAACGAAAATAATTTCAAGAAGTTGATTTTGAAAACTTGCAAGTTCAGAATGTGACTCAAATATAGTATCTTGAATTCTGTGTTTTAGGAACATCCACTGTATTAATTCCTGTATTTCTATTCCCAAATAAAGGATGCATATGTGTGCATGTGTATAAAAATATATAAACACACATATACAAACAAACATGCAAGTTTCTCCCCCAGCCCCAGAAGTAATTTAATATACAGGTCTGTGTCATTTTTAATAGCACCATCTTACCATCAGTACAATCTAATATCCTGTAATGGTATTCCCCAACTATTTATAGAGATAGAATACATCATACATTACAGACACACATTCCCAATTTAGGGTTGTAAGAAGAATCCTACATAATTTTAAATTAAGTCCTAATGTAATTATAATCATTTTTGTTTTCATATTCAATTGCAGGTAGCACTTAGTTATTTACATGAATTTTCCTAAGAGGCATTCCCACAGAGATTTCCATATTAGATGTACTGCATAATAACTGAACATGCAGCTAGAGAAAAGAGTATGTTATCCATACAGCTCCAAAGTTTGCCATTATTCAGGTTAGACAGCTCTGTAAAACCGCTAACTGCTCAGATTGTGCTTCTAAACTTTATCAGCACGAAGGGAAAGCAAATATGCTTCACTTAATACAGGAATACAACTGCATAGGTACTTTTTTTCCCTGAGGCTCTGCCATTTCAGCTTACATTTCTTATGTATGCTATTTTACATCATAAAACGCCAGAGTAATCTGATGATTCTTGGCCTTTCTTTCCTAGATGGTGTTCAACAAGGAACAGTTAAAAAATACTGGGAGCCATTTACATTCAGAAAGCGCAGGGCAGAACTGCTCCCTAACTTTCCAGCACTTCTGGAGGTCACTTTTCATTTCTTCATATCAAAGGCAGGCACTTGTTTCTAATAAGTTAACAACTCTCCTGAGAAACGTGGGTGGCTGGTATTTCATTGTTTCATAAATATTTTTATACTGGTAACACCATTCAACTTAAAACAGATTTCCAGAGGAGAAAAATCACGACCAGGATTATGTTCAGCAGAGGCAGCAGCGCAAACTTTTTTTTAACTTGGTGAATATAAGAGATATTTCCCCCCCCCCTCCTCCTCCTCTCGCTTTATATCTCCTAGCTGGTTTTGTTTGGCTGTGTGAAGGGGGGGGGGGCCGCTTTGTTTTAATTTGGGTACAAAAGCCGCACTGTATAACTTTTCCCTCCCCCTTGGAAGTGTACTTCCTTTGAAAGCGCTCCTCTGCGAACAAAGGCTGCCACCGGCCCTCCGCACTAGCGCCGGGGACAGCTGTGCGATAGAGCTCTTCAAAACCTCGCCGAGAAATGAAAAAAAAAAAAAAAAAAAAAAAACCACAAAAAAACCTCTGCGGTTCCTACCGAAAGGAAGTTTTCCAGGGACAAGCTCCTCGGTGTTGCTGCAACTGCGACTTTGTCTTTTTTGGATACAATGTTTCTGCTGACTCCCGAAAATTTTCCACTTGAATGTGCAATTAACCAGCAGCGGCGGCGGCAGCAGCAGCAGCAGCAGCTCTGGAGAAGGAGAAGAAGCAGCGAAAAGGGACATTCCTTCTTTCATCTTTTAAGAGGAAAATAAAAAGAGGGAAAGGGAGGCGAAACTCGGCGGCCAGCGGGAGCTCCGCGCCAAGGCCCGGGGATGGCTCCGGAGGGCTGCGAGCCTGTGCGCCCAGCGCGGGGCTGCTGCCGGCTCGCGGGAAAAAAATGTGAAAAACGCCAAGGATCGGTGCGTGCGTGTGCGAGAGGGAGAGAGAGAGAGAGAGTCTTCTGTGTGCGTGTGTTGTGTGTGTGTGTGTGTGCGCGGTGTGTGCGCGCCGGCTGCCGAGCAGTGACTCAGGCAACTAAGTTGCGAGCGGCGGCGCGGGGAGCGGCGCGGGCGGGCGGGCGGGCGGCAGCCGCCTGTTGCAGCCTCCGGCGCGGCCACCCCGCAGCGGCAGGAACTCCGCGGGAAACAACTTTCTCCCCCCCTCTCCGCCCCGCCGCGGCCCCCAGTCCCGCCTGCCCCGGGCACTGCGGGGCCCCTCGGCCGACCCCGGGGCCGGGACCGTACCCCCCCGCCCCGACCGGCACAAGCGCGCCGCGCGGCCCCTCTCTTACCTCCGCGCCGCGCGCCCCTCCGCCGCACGCCAGCGCGCCCGCTCCGACGGCAAACTTCGCCCGCCGCCCCCCGGAGCCGCCCCGCTATTTATGCCCCGCGCCTATTTTTTAATCCGCCGCTCGAGGCTATTTATACGCGGCCGTAGGTTGCCCGGGCCGGGCGGACGGACGCCTTCGAGGATGGAGTTTGCTGCCCGGCCGGCGGCGGGCGGGCCGGGGCTCCGAGCCGGGCGGCGCGGCGCCAGCGATTGCGAGGAATGCGCGGAACTGAGCGGAGGATATGACAATGGAACGCGGACGGGCGCCGCGGGGCGGAGCGCGGCCACGCCGCCCCTGCGCCGCGGGCGGGCGGGCGGGGCGGCCGGGCGGGCCTCCCTGCGCCGCGCTGACCTCATAGGGGAGCCCGCGGGAGGGGGGCCCGCGGCCACGGAGCGGGGCGGTGTCAGGAGCGGGACCAGGACCGGACCGGACCCGCGCTCCGGTGGCTGCCCGCTGCTGGCGGGTTCCGGGCGGGTTCTGCTGCGCCCGCGAGCGGACCGGCCAGCGGGTCCGCAAACAGGGCGTGAGATGCCTTGCCGCGGAGTTGCGGCTGTAGGGGTCTGCGATGGGCCACGGCATCCAGCTGGGCACTGGACGCTGCTGGATCGTGAGGCTCCCCTGGGAAGCCCAGCGTTCCCACGCGCGCACATCCAACCCCTTGGGTGCCCCGGCAAAGCCCTGTGCAAACGCCCACCACTCCTTAGGAAACGCAGATGTGTGCCCAGAAGGCCACTGCGGCACCCCAGGGCCCAAGGGAGCTCTGGGGCATGGGATGAGCAGGAAAGCTTTGTGTACATTACACATCAAATCGACATACACATAGCATGGCCCAGGGGTCCACACTCTTCACCCTGAATCCAGATCATGACCTTTCTCACAAAACTGTCCCCTGCTTCAGATTTCACAATGCCAGTTTTGCACCACTCCAGTTGTGAGCTGAAGTGCCTTTGGACTGTCTTTACCCTTCTTGTACTGGCACAACCCATCCCCCAGAAGCGCTCCCCAAGCAGCATCACAAGGCACTGTCTCCTTCAGTTAACAATCCGCTACCTTATGGAAATATTGTCAGGGCAGGCACAGCTGTTGTGCTTGTGAAAATTCGTATTTGCATAAGCAAAATGGATAACTGGACACCTTGGTGCCTGTTTGTGAAATAAATTGCCTATTTTGATGTGCAAACACACATTTCTATCCACCTTTGAAAGTTTGCCCAGCAGGGCTGTCGCTTCTGGAGATGTCAGGAAAATCACGTTACAACCTCAGAAGAACCACATGTCGGTGTCATCAGACAGCATTAACATGCTCACACCGCGTGTGAGTTCATGATATGCTGGTGGAATTCACAATAAATGCCCTGTATATTACTTTGTGTGACATTAGAGAGAGGATGCTGAGCATGTCATTCTGCGAATACCAGAAACAAGCTCACCCTGGTGCTTTCCCAGTACCAGTCTTGTAAGACAGCTATGCTGTTAACAGACATCGTTGTAGACTGTGACTGACCCAAGAGCCTCTTGAAAACGAGCCACTTAAAGCTCACACTGCAGTTTACACAGAGGCTGCAAGTTTGTGGGCCAGGCACAGAGTGTGTGTGACAGGCAGTGTGAGCAGATGCAGGGTTCCCACTGGTCACACACATGACATGGACTGAAATCTGCTAAAACTCAACCCTACAGAAAAAGTCTGCGAGAAGCAACAGCATCAAACAAAGCCAAAGTTTGATCAGGTCTTGGTCAAAGGGTTGCGAAAATGCAAAAATGAACATATTTTAGGATATTTTTTTCCCCCACACCATTCCGCACTGGCTGGAAAATTTCTTCCTCAAAGTAGGTTAAAGGAACCCCTTCACACATGCATAATTTCTTTTCTCTTCCACTCTTTCTTTCCAAATAGCTCTAGTAATATTGTCTAATAAGTGTCTGAGTGCCTGCACAATTTGTAAAATTCAATCACTTTGCAGATGTCTACACAAAAGCCATAGTCTCTTGAGTGCACTTAAAGTTTACCGACTCTTTTCCAAAGCTGGAAGAGAAAAATGGGAAAAAACATTGCCCCCTAACATCTATACCATAGATTTTTTAGTCACTAGGCTTAAACTTATTCCACTATGTTCACTGCATGCACAGAAATATGAAATGTCTTTAAATGAATGTGATTTTTTTTTCCTTAAGGCTTGCAGAGAAAGTACGAAGAATACTGATTCTAACTTCTATGCCTATGCAGGGCCCAAAAGGTATCATAGCTCTGCACATGTGGAGGGAGAGTAGCAAATCTTTGGAGAATAGATAAATAGTTTGTAAACTTCTTACCTAGAGCAGTTCTCACAAATGGAAGTGATGAAAATTTTGTAGGATTATGCTCTCCTAGTGGAAAAGAAAAAAAAAGAGGATTGTTTCTGCAGTCATCGTTGTGGATGAACACAAATCAGACTCAAACCAGGTTGCAGCTGTTTGCCTCTATCTGCAGACAGATAGTTCAGTAGTTCTTTTGCTATTCAGAACTTTCTAAAAGAATAATTGAATTTACCTGATACCTGCATATTTTGCTGTTAACTGCTAGCAGCAGGGGAGGCTCACAAAATTCAGACTGTTTCTCAGGTTCTGAAACTTTGTACAGTGGTGTTCTTCACAGGAAGAAATGCTCCCTGTGCATCTGTGGAAGAAATGCAAGAACAAATGCCTGGGGAGGACTGAAGGTCTTCCACCAGCACAGTGTAAAAGTTCATCCACAATCCACAGTTTTCAGCTCAAGGCTGAGTCCTGACAATATCTTGCTCACAAGCAACTGTACGTACCAATTAAACTACCAAAACCGAGGCCAACATGAACAGCAAACTAGTGTGGTGACTAAACCATGGCCCTTGCTGAGCACAGATCTGTGGGCCAGAGAGCTCCAGACAAAACAACATCCTCTGAACACTGAGGTAGGGAAACTCCATCAAGTATTTCTTGCCTCTTGGCTCATATATCCTGTAGGTTGTCATGTCATGCCATGCCATGGCATGCCATACCTTACTGGCAGTCACTTAAAAAAATACATGCCTGGAATCCCCATGAAGTTCTGGCAGGAAAAAATGGTGTGCTGGGGAGAGAGAGAGGTCCGTGCATTTTGACATGGGGTAAAGATGAGGAAAAACAGAATCACTGTCATCCAGCCTGTGAGTCCAGCCACTGCCTCCATGCAAGGATAGGCTTTGGAGGCCCTGTGGATAAAGCAGGAAGGTACATTCACAGACAGAAATTTCTCTGATGAATTGCCTGCCCTCTGTTTATTGATGAATGGCTTCTCCAGGCACACAGGTGCGCAGAGAACTACAAAAGCTCAAGAAAACAAAGGGACATTGGGACAAGCCCAGACAGGGGCATTTCCTGGGGACAAATGCTTATCTCAGCTAGAAAGGAGACATACAAGTGGGGAATATGGGAAAATGTGTTAAGAAAGAGAAAGAATGAGATTCAAGCGATGGATGCTGATAAAAAGACTTGGGGGGGGGGAGAGATTGGGAAAGAGGAGAGACACAGAAATGAGGAGAGAATGGAAAGTGAAGGAAATTTTTGAGATTACAGAAAGAAGGCAGGAAAAATGAAAAGAAAGTTTAAAAAGGGTGATAGAAATGGAGAAGGGAGAAAGAAAAAGAAATGGTGGGGCAGAAAGAACAGCTGAAGGGAAATGAGCTGGGAGAACAAGGCAGATCGTAGTTTAGAAGAAAAATAAGAAGTAGTAGAAACAGGAGGCGGCAGTGAGGAAAGGGAATTAGCTTAACCACAAAAGGAGTAAGGTAAGGAAGGATAGAAAAAGCAAGCAAAAAAACACAATTAGAGAATAAAGGTCTGTAGTACTATCAAGTCTTGATTTGTCAGTGAAATACTCTTTTGAGTGCAAGTCCTATTGAGACTGGTGTGCAGGCAAGTGTGAACATACTTAAGATGGAGGCTGGACTGTGGTTTACATATAGGAACCACTTTTGTCTTCATTAATGTGAGCACTGATAGCAGGGGGCATTAGTTACAGGGCACATAACTTACACGTTTTATCCCAGCCTCCCAAAACCAGATGATGCTTTTAAGTCTCTAAGAGATGAAAAAGTACCCAAAGACACAGGGTTAACAGAATTCCTCACAAACTCTAGGAATAAGTAAACTCTCTGTCCAGAGAGTACTGGCAGATGAAAACAAGATGGTCTTCTGAAATTCTAGATCCAGAGCCCCATTTTGGACTTGGAATGAACCTCAAAGCTCGACAGCACTTGGAATCGGCGTTTTCGTTACAAACACTGAAAGAATTTTAAAACTACATATTTGGATTGCAGTTCAGATTAGGAAAACCGCTAATCTCAGGA